GTACGGTGTGAAGGAGAGAGGGCGTCATCTGGTTTTAAAGGAGAGAGCTCCAGCAAGAAATGTCGTTTAAACGGCAGGGTCCGATTGGAAAATAAAAGGGTGTGTCATGGGTGGGTTTTTGTGCTGGACCGCGTGTTCGAGATAACATGACGAATAGTTCGGACAACCACATTTCTCCCCCACATATGGGCTGGATTTTGGGGAGCGCAACGCTTGGACGTACGAGAGAGGAATGAGCTTCGACATGAGTTCTTCATTATTTGTTTCATTTACTTATATGTGTTGTAGCGCGTAGCAACGCACGGGCATTATACTAGTTACATCTAAAGATGTCATCGGGAAAGAAAAACAAGCCCAAAAAACAACTAAAACTTATCATCCGAAAATGAAGTTGCCGTGTTTGACAACTAAAGTTGCCATACTCGTGTCACTGAAGTTGCCATCAAAAACATTCGAAGTTGTTATGTGTCCGTGCCGCACGTGTGCTATTTATCAGGTTAAAAGCAAGCTGCAAGTTTGGAAAGTCTTATTTTCAACATAGCTAATTAACCTGATGATTTCAAATTACAACCCGCGCATTCGGAACCACAATTCACGAAAGTAAGCTCAAAATCCTCTCCAAACATCACAATTTTATTAGGTTTGAACCGAGCGCCTCACCCGGACGAATCGATAGAGAGTCGCGTTTGGGGTGGGGTGGGGGTAAGAAGGCGGCGAATCGAGCTGCCCATCGTGTGGGCTGGGCATCCGTCGTAAAAATGTTCATAGTGGAGAGAGGAATGCTACGTGGTATGTTCCATGCATGTTTGGAGAAAAAATAGGTTTCTTTCACCTACAGCCCATTACGTACATTCAATCGAGATGCCCTAATGAATTACCTAACCGGTCACACGCCAAAGTATTCGAAGGCGTTGCTGAGGCGGCGGCCGGCGTAGGGGTGGGGATGGTCCGGGTACGTGCACTCCGTGCTGAACAGAAGCCAGTGCCGCCGGCAACGTTTCACCGGCAGGTCGCCGAGAACCCGCTGTCCCCCGCCGGGCGTCTCGAGGCGCACCATGTCGCTCTCGAACACGACGCGGCACAGGCCGCCGCCGGCGACGTCCTGGCACCGCTTGGCCTCCGGCCACCGCGAGTCGAAGAGCGGCATGGCACCGACGTAGTTGCCCTGGTAGGCCCAGCTGCAGGTGACCCACCCGTACGTCTTGGCGTCCACCAGGAGCTCCAAGACGCGCCGGCCGTCGCGGGGCACGCGGCCACGCGGCACGACGCTCCACTGGGTAAAGATGTTGCCGCCCAGCGCGCGGCACACGAGCAACATGCCGCCCCCCGCCGACAGCCGGTTCTCCACGGCCGCGTAGTAGGACGACGACCACGGCTGCGACGACGGCGACAACGGCGGGGAGCCGGTGGTGGTGGCGTGGGCCATAGCCGCGAGGGTCGCCGCGGTGAAAGCCGCGGCGAGGCCTGCCATTGCCGCACGTTGGCGGCTCCCGATCTGGACGCGCGGCGTACGTGGCTGCATGTATCGGGCGCTTTCTTTGATATATCGTGGCTGGGGACAGGCGCATGCACTTCATGGCTAACCATGGACGGAAAGACCACCTGAGGAGGATTAGAATCACACTTATCCCATATAAAGCCATATATAGCGCTGCGGTAATGCTATTTTTATCCGAGTAGCACAGTGACCCGCACGGTTGCAAGTGTTGTGGTTTTTTTTTTGGCATGTAAATTTGAAACCTTCTGGTAGACGACGTTAATCTCATCATGTCTAACCTTAACCACATGACAGTGCGTATACTACGTGCCTTATTTGAGAGAGGCATCTTCTACCTATGATGTCGATATGTCTGCTTGACGTATCCTTGAAAAGAAGTTTGAGCGAGGCAGTGAGCCACATTGTTCCTCGAGCATCATAGTGATGTCGTGTTGTCTATCTTGATGTAGGCGTTTAATCTCAATAATCATTGCATAGCCGAGCAGTCAGGCTCTCGTCCCATGATTGCCTTGACCGCCACTTCTGAGTCGGTCTCAATGATGATCAGCTTCGGGCTTCATTCTTGAGCAAGGTGATTCCCTCCATGCATGCCAAAAGCTCAACTTAAAAGGGGCTGCCACGTGTCTGTGAATGTCTGCAGGAGGAGAGCACGGCTATCTCGTCCC